GTCATTCCATGGTTTTCTACAATTTGTTCCACCTTGTTGCTGAGAATAGTAACAACCTCTAGAGGTATCACCATTAACATTGAATTTGGACATACAACAATTTTCCACTTGAGGAAGAAATATTTTTAAAAAAATCAATTAAATGTCCTTTGCTTTTTCAAAACTGTAGGCTCTGTTCCTTAGAAGGAAAACAACTGCATGAAGCTGTTAAAATTATCAAGTGAACTGATTTCAATAAGCTAAAAAAGATAAATTCTGAAGTTTTATGAAAAAAACAAAGACCAAATGTTTCTTGGAATTAAAAGGACTGACTTACAAATAGAATAATGAATAAATAATTAATGTCCGTGGAGATCACTTTTCCCATTTGCAACAAAAAATGTTTTGAATAAACTGATTAATTCATCCGAGTGCTATACTTTAGTTGTCAAGCACTCCATCGGTAATATGAATATAGATGTTCTTTCTTGTTACCCCTTTTTTTATTTTGTAAATGCACTGACAATTCTGCGATTATTTATAATGGTTGTTGTCTTGAAATGTCCATGTTGTGTGCATTTCACACAAATCTGGATAGCAGTAAAGGTGTCAAATATCAGCAGATCTTACAAATTTTGCACTTTCGTGCATGAAATCAAATTACTTCATCTGTAACGATATGCCTGACTCCATTACAGTTTTTAAACTTAATTTTTAAATCCAATTTTTAACACTTAAAAGGCATTCAGAATATATTAACAATATATACTGTTTCTTGAAGGGTTTTTCCTCTCCTTCCTTTTCTACCTTCCCTGTAACCCACCTTTTGCATTAGTGATTTTTTTTTTCATCCACAGTTTTTTGGGGGTTTTTTTGGTTTTGGTTTGTTTGTTTTTTTTTTTTTTTTATAAAACAGTGATAGTATGTTCACCACATGCTGTTGTTTTCTGTATAATATTGGGCAGGATATCACTGTTATTTTTGGATGTATCTATGAATGACTCATGTAAGTGTGTTACGGTGTTAACAAAAGAGTAGGGTAGCAGAGCCTAGACATAGCTACTGACTAGAAGAAGTATAAACTGCAGTCATCGCTTTTGGGCAATAAGGCTTAAAAAAATAAATAAAAAAAGAGGTTCATCAAAGGAAGAGAAAGGATCCTTTTAGAAAACAAAATACATTTAATGATATAATGCAGTATAAAGAACGATGAATCCTAAATTCTTATTTTACAAATTCTCTATTTAGAACTGCGTTTAAAATATGATCAACTGTTACTGGTATGTATTACTGCTGCAGGATGCTAATAATTCACGCTATATCTGGACATAGTTTTATATTCTGTCATTAATGAATGAGAGGATATTTTTTCATTTCTTCTACTGTGAATGTGGAATACCTTTGACTGTAGTTGGAAGTTGAAAGATTTATTATTTAAATTATACAACAATCTTTTTTTCTTTACATTTAGTGTGTACTCAATCCCTTTCCATTCTTGAAAAGGTAGCAAACCAGCTAAAGTGGTTTATGTTGATTCACCCCTGCTGAGAAAGGAAATGACAGTACGAGAGAGGAACCAAATCTTCCATGAAATTCCAATGGACTTCCTAGCAACTAAAACATCTTACGTTTCAATTTCTGATGTATTGATGGACAAACCAGCTGAGGACAGTCTGCTTCAGTGGGATGTATGTAGCTTCACCTCCTCTTAACAAACAAACAAACAAAACCAAAAACTTCTTTTTATAATTCCTATGTTACTTGTTCTGCAATAATGAAGGAAAATTTAAGTTTCCTGTTGGTTGTTTTTCTACTGCTGAGTTACAGACTTTATGTTCTAAAATGTCTGTCTAGTTCCTTTAAATGCTTCTATTACATCGGCTTCTCAGCTTTAATGTTTACTTCATTAAAATGTATTTTGATAAGTTTATTTAAGTGGGAGAAGTTTTATGAAGTTTATTCCTCTTTTGAAAGGCCTTTCAACTCCTAGGACTTAAGATATTCCACGTTAAACAGAGGAAATTTTTTTTTTCCTCAATTACTGCCCCTCTCTCCCAACAGTCAAAATATGGATAGTAGAACATTTTTCATGTTTTCAATTTGACAGTGTCTCATTTGTGATTAACACATTCTATTTCTTGGTTTGTTTGATTATTTTTTTAATATTAAATATCTTTAACATTATTTTTTCTTCCCTGTGTTAAGATGTCTTCTGATAGCTACCAGTACAGGAAGATTCCTCTTCCAGATGACACAGGGATGGACTTTGATGATGATGTTACAGAACTGGAAACGTTTGGAGCAACTGTCAAGCTCTCAAGAACTTCTAAAATGGAAAGTACTTTTCCTACAGTTAGTAACACTGCTAAAGTTTTATCACATGGCCTAAAAATGGGGAAAAAAAATACGTCCAGCATAAACAGTGAAGGGAAAAACACCATTCCTGAGCAAGGAGTTTCAGTATGTGCCAGCATACAGTTTCCATCATTAGATGGCATTCTGTGCTTCAGCCCTGAAGAAAATTCATCTCATAAAAGCTTTAATTCAGAGGAGGTAAGACTTAACAAAGCACAGCATGTCATGACCAAAGAAGTATTGGACAGTGAAACAAAATTACATACTCTATCTAATGCTGCTAGTTACAAGAAAGAATCTGATTCTGCACCAAAAAATGAGATTTACACTTCTTTATGCAGTAGTGACACGGATGAAGAGCGTTTGGTAATTGATACAGAATGCAAAACAGCTGTAGCAAACACTGTTTCTCATACCTCATTGGAGACTGCCAAATCACCTTCCCCCACCCAGATTCCATTAGCAAGCATGACTGATTGCTCAGATGTCGTGGATCAGGGAAAAAACGCCTCCAGAAAGCCTACAAGAAAGTTGTCCAAGGAATTTGATCCTGTCGGACAGATTTTGAAAATGCAAACTGAACTTCTCAAGTCACCTTCACAAAAAACTCATGAGCACCCAGTGGTGAGCTGTGATAATTCTAATGCTACGCCAGCCCATGTGCCTCAATCTCCAAAACCATTGGTGACCTCTAGCACAGAAGCTGTGCCGCTCCCTGCCTCAAATCCCAACAGCTCGTCTAGAAGTACCTGGACTTGGCTTTTTCAGGGAGTGCCAAAGAGTAAGTAATTGTATAAGGAGTAAAATTTCAAAGTTTCAGGAAAACTTAACTGAAAAACATTTTACAGTCCTTCATCTGAAGAATGTCCTGATAGTACCTCCGTTACATTTATTTAGAGATGTGACTTAATTTTTTTTTTTTTTAAAAGATACTTTTTCTGTGGAGAATTACTGTCTTGCACGCATAAGGGAGCATCTTGGGAGCTGCTTGTCTGCAGAGGTCAAAGTGAAATACTGCTTAGAGAAACAAAAAGTTGCTATATACATTTTTAAGCAAGGAAAAGAAATCATTTGGTAGTGAAATGAGTTACTTTTCCTCAGAAATTTAAATATTTGAGTATTCTGGTGGGCAAAAATAGTTTCTTGTCAATCAAAAATGGAATTTACGTTTTCTGTAGAAGAAAAATTTCATCAAATTATGCAATTAAAACTTGAAAGAAAACTTGAAATTTGAATGTCTTAAGTTCTGAGACTCGTAGTTCAGATGCTCTTAGTTCTTAGCAATCTATTTCAGAACACTAATGAGGACTGCAATTCACATGCCCAAGTTTTCAGGCTTTTAGCTGGAAATTGAACCTATGCTACACCCAGACCTCAACCAAGAACCAGAAGTCTTGAAGATCATAAGGGCCATGATCTGAAGTTGGAGTTTATTCTTGTTTATTTTAAATGTTTTGTTAAAATATCTCTAAGGGATGCAGGGAAGTTTGTTAACTTACATCAGAGCTGCACTTGGAGATCTAATAAGTGTTTCTTTTCAATATGCTAATATTGAAATTGAAGTTGAAGCAAATTCAATTTGGAACAGAGGCTTATGCTACCATCCAAACCTGAGGCTTGAGTTATTTCAGTAACTGATAAATGGATGGCAGCTTTCAGGAGGCATACATTGTAAATAGAATTCTTGTCTCCTTTGTGCTGAGTGACTTGTGGCTTATAAACCAGCCTTTGAACTCCATTTGTACAAGAATGGAGTCTCACAACTCTGTATAAGAAATCTAATGATTAGGATAAAATATGTGGGAATATTTAAAAATATACTATTTAAAAGTTATAGCAGCTGTTTTCCAAATTTAATTTTTTTAATACATAGGTGACTTCTTGTGCCTAACGAGATGGTTTTTATCCCAAAATCCTAGGAAACAAAACAGATTCTATTTAAAAAAAAATTTGTTTTTAAATCTACTGCAAGAAAATAAAAGCTAATTAGCTTCATGGTGAAGAGTGTGCAAGCTTGTAGTTTTCTGTTTTATTTATTTTCTATAGGAAAGCTGCCAAATGAACTTCAGATGCTTGAAGAAGACCCTTCAGAGTATAAAGCACCTCAGGATGGCAACCTTGTGTATAAGCTGTTCAGTTTGAATGATCTGTTGTTACTTGTGCGTTGCAGTGTACAAAAAGTGAAGTCATTGCCACGATACCGTAAAAAGAAGAAAGCCCAAAAGGTACAGATTTTGCTCTTATCTTTTTTGGTTTGTTTTTTTTTTTACACAGTTGTGCTCAGCTGGCATCTCTGGGATTCCCAGTCCTTCATAGCATTTGTGTTTTCACTCAGACAATTAGTACATTTAATTGTAATTCTGTGGTGTCTCTTTTTTAAGTAAATATTTACTGTAGGAATTGAGGGAAGAATGACTTGTGATTTCTTTTAAACCTACTTGATTAGAAGAAAAGCAAGTGTGATTCCGCATTTCTTACTACAACTGCATTACAGTAATATGCATGGATAATTATATTCATATAAACTAATGTCAGTTTGAACTATTCTTAAAAGTTAATGCAGTAATTAGGTTTTTGGCCCAAGGCTTTGAGAATGTTCATGATCATAAATACTTTCAAGCAGGATTCAGCCTTGCTATTATGCCTAGTTAAACAGAGAAATAGGAGATAGAATGAACAACAGAGGACACATTTAAAGATAAAAAGAGATCCTATTCATTCTACTTGAAAAGACACTGGTATACATCTTAGCAAATCGTTTGTCTTAAGGAATAAAATGCTTTAAATGCAAATGTAATTCCTTGTAACATCAGAAGAAGGAAAGCTTATTCTGGAATCCTCAGTAGTTTACTATTTTGTCAATAGTCCTCTGAATCATTCGACAAATTTGACATGGTATCTCTCTCCCCAGACTACTGGAATTACAGTAGGCAGGCATTTTGTGAGGTGTTTGTTTTGTTGATATGGAAATAGATCTTTTTAACTCTGATTACTTGCAGAGGTTCTGTGCTCAAAATCGTATTTTGAAGAAATACCATCTCTTTGCTATTGATCCACTACTTACAAATGTCTGTGAACAGCTGCTTAGTTTGTTAATCACAAATTGAGCACCGTTATTTTTTACAGTTCCGTATATTTTCTTATATTTTTCTCTGTGAAGCGTTAACACGCAAAGGTTAGCCTCTGGTCTCAAATGAGAGTCCAAGCATTAGGTTCCAATTTCAAATGAGATTCTAACAAGGGGAATACATGTCAGGATTCCACTAATAACAAACAAATCAGAAATATAATGTATGTATTCTTAAACTCCTGCAGAGGGCAGTAGAGCACAGAAGTGTGAACTTCATGTTAATTTAGTCGCATGGAAAAATTACTTAGAGGCAAAATTTCCTTATCTGTGAAAGCTTGCCTAGGCTTGCTATTTTTTTGTCCATTTCACCTTCCCCACTATAGAGTCTCTGTAGTCCAACGTTTGTACTGTGGGTTTCACAGAATGTGAGCCATCACACAAAATCTGTGAAACGTCTTTGTTTCTTTAGCTGTAGTAGAAGACTATGATGATTATCCACTACAAAATGTAGTTCAATTGTGGATGTTTTTTGGACAGTGAGTGCTGATTTTTATTGTATCTTCACTTTTACAGCTTATTCCAATATTCCTGTTGCCAAAATTAGAATACCAAGCCTATTACGGTGTTGAAGCTCTTACAGAAAGTGAAGTATGTCAGTTGTGGACAGAGAGTATGCTGCATTCTGAATGCTTATTTTATATTGGTAAGTTCGTGTGCTGATTTTTGCTTAAGAAAAATGTATGTCTGAATATTCATAGACTAACAGAAGAGAAAAGTACTTACTAAAGGTATATTCCATACGTCCTTATTTTAACTTTTTAATTTTGGTTTTCACTTTTATCTTAAATAAACATTTTGTCTAAAATTTCTGTTGGGTGGAGAATAAGGGTATTTCAACTTTGGTTTTAGATGAATACCATCCAGTAATGTTTGTTTTCAAGAACTGCATTTATTTGCCTTTCAAAGACAGATGTGTCTGTAAGTGTGAATTACAAGGGTGAATTTAGTTCTCTGAAGTTAGTAATCTCCATGACTTAAAGTATCTGGCGGGAGCGGGAGGTGCAGCGTTTGGTTATTTTTTAAATGAGTCATATACAACATGAATTGTTTTATCACAGGAGTGGTAAAAATATTTCTTGATGAAATCTGAGTTATAAATATATCTTACCATTTTGTGAAATTATTTTAAATGAATTTGTTATTACATACCAAAATAGAAGACGAACAGAGGATCAGGTATGTGACTCAGAGGACACAGATTCCTTGGCCTTTGCAGTATGGGAAAAGGTCAAATGTTACTTACTTTTCTTTGGAAACAGGCAATAATGTTCATATTTCTACACTGATAACACGGACAGATAAGATATAAGAGAATGAGGAAAAAAAAAGGCAAGATAGCGCTAAACCAAGTTCTGCTGTTCAGAAATAAAAGAAATTACATGCTTTGAAAACAGTGTACGTGTGTCTCATATCTAAGGTGCTGGGAATAATTGTCTGGTTTTGCAGAAATTAAATTCCTAACAGGAAGAAGAAAAATACATAGCATGAGTTCATTGAAAACTTCTTTCCATAGCTATGGTATTCCTCAGGAGTTCTGAACACTGGATGATTTTACTTAAACACACAAGTTTTCCGTTGGCCGTGTATAATGAAATACAATTTCCTAATATGTGATATGACTTGAAACATCCCTGTCAAAGGGGTGGTCTTGGTACTCCTTGTCCTGTATCATGCAGCAGATGGAAACAGGAGATAATGTAATAGAATCTCTGAATGTGAAGTAACATACGTTACTTCAGGAAACTACAAGTCTCGTGTAGAAGAGGTGAAAACTAATTCAGAGCACAGAAAATAAAAAGACAATAAAGCAGGGATACAAAGCATGGAGATGTAGGCAGAAAGGTATCTGACTTGTAAAGGCTGTTTATCCAAAATCACATGAACCAAGCACTCCAGGAATGCAGCGTTACAAGGAAAGTTTCACTAATGAATGTCCTGTAGAAAATGCTGTATTCATGTTTGTACCATGACATTTTAAACATCAGGGAGTTGTATGTCTATTAGGATACATATGTTCTGTAGAGAAATGAAAATTATGCATATAAACAATGTGCCCAGATTATTTTAGTAACCCTTTTAATATATGGAGAGCTCTCTGATACCAATTGTCTTCTAATTAAAAAGGTTTTAAAAGGAAAAATCTGCAACAAAGTGGTTAGTCAAAAAGCGTTCTAGAATATATTTGGCACTTGCTACGGAGCGATGGCAGTCCTGTTTGTGCAGTGAATGAATGTTCTGCAGTGGGGACTGCCTCGCCTTCCTGTTGTAGAAAAAATTCTCTCTCTTTTTTTTATAGTTCTTACAGCAGGAGTTGTGGCCTGTGATTGCCTAACCTTTCCACTTGTGCACTGAATTACACTTTTGCTTTTGGTGGCTCACATCAGAATACTATTTTAGAAATGCTGAGTTCTCTCTTTCCTATTTTTTACATACAAACTTTGCATCCTATCATAGAATTACAAGGTATATGTGAAATCTAATATACTTGAGGTAATTGTTTTGCTGATTGCATCTATCTTTGCTGTCCATATTTAGTGGAAACTATGTTTCTAATTTTAAATTCTAAAACAATATTTGCTGTGTTTTTTCTCTTCTCAAAAAAAAAACCCCTCACAAAGAGATAATTACGCATACAGTTCTCCATTTCTAATTATATCTTAATGTCCAGTACTGAAGCATTGATCTTTTTTTTTAGCAACAAACAGTGTACTGAATTGCACTGAAATTTAGCCCTCTGTAGAAAACAGCATTAACATTTTTGTTAACATTTCCAGAGTCACAAGCAGTGTGAGGAAATAGTGAAACTGTAGAGAGAGGGCTAATCTGCTTACAAAGCACACAAACTGAAAGAATGCATGTCTATCTAATCTCACATCAGTTACAGGATATGTAGCATACGGCTTGTGTGCAGAAGTTTGCAGGCAGCTCTTCCAGCCAACACCCCTTTTTATAGAGGCTCTCAGGAGTGTAGGAGAAAGGAGGATGCGTGCTGCAGGAGTTTTCTGGCATAAACAGGCATGCCTTTCTGATATGGAGGTTCCTCAGCGTCTCCCTTGTAGATACCTGCTAGCTGTGAAACAGGCATGGAGCCCGAGGCTGGCAGCCTTCGCTGGCCTGGCCTCCAGCATGCTCTCTCTGTTCATGTACTTGGGAGAAAAAGTCGTTGGGATTGAGAAACACCAGTTACTCCAGTGATGTTTGTCAGCTCTTGGATGTGCTTCTTCCAGCAGCAAACCCTGGGGTCCACAGGGGTTCTCCTTTGTGTGCTCTGAGGAAGCACAGGATTACTGTGGGTTGTCACTGTCCTACACAGTAAATTAGTACTCCCAGCATGTGGGGCAGGCTCCCACCCACCACTGTTTAAAAAAAAAAAAAAGCCTGCTACAAATACAGAGTTGGACTCTGAGCATGTCACCCACTTTTGACACAGAGAGAATATGTGATTTATTATTTATTTAGGTAGGCAAATTGGGGACTGCAGATTTTTGGTGCTGCCATGTGGTTTCCAATATAGGTAGGTAAAAAGACATACATGGAAGTAAATGATCCATTTTATGAACAAGCATCTACCACAGCTTTTAATAGGAAATTGTTATCCTACTTACGGACTCTCTCTGCTCTTTCTGAGAAATATTGTCTGGTGGCTGTTAAATTCTACCTTTCAGTTTGCATTTCTGAGGAGCTGTGAAAAATACAGTGTTGCAAGTGTCCTAATTTAGTTCCATGGCTCTTTGCAACAGAAAGCTGCTTCCTTGAGCTGCAGGGGCATTTCTCTAAGAGTGATAATATCCCTGTATAATGGACAATGAAAAATGGGTGAATATCTCATTCTTTCATTAATCTCATACCTGAAATTAAGACTGCTGCTATCATGTGTTTGGTGTAAGCAGAGAGACAGATTTGACTTCTCAGATCGTGCTATAATTTGAATTATTTTAAGTGAAATATGTCCTATAATAAAGGAATTTTTGTATTGACCATAGTAGAGCCATAGACTTACTACTCTTTTTAAATTTACCTGACAGTATGAATGTGAAAGTATGGAACAACTGTTTGAAAACTGCGATCTTACCATTACTAACATGGTACCTACAACTTGAATTCTTTTTCAGACAGTTCTGAGACTATATAGATCTTAAGTGAAGCCTCTAAAATTTATGTCTTGAGCATGTAGCATACCTCAGCATTAAAGTGCTTAGTAGTTCTTGGATCTTGAAAAAACTTCACTCACTGTTTCAACAATCTTCTGTATTGCCAAATAAGTATGGATGGAAAGTTCTTTGGACCTTGGTCTGTGCTCCATAATTGCCCGGCGTTGTTCTTCAGTGTTGTATTGCTCTGTGTGGCTGAGGGAGCAATCTCATAGCTCAGCGCAGTGACTCAGCAGTGCTGCCAGCTCAGGAGATGAGAAGGAAAACAGAAGTGTAACTATGGCCTCCTGCAGAAATTGCAAGGTGTGATATTAAGTTAAATTTTTTTTTTATGTTCTCGAAGGTAGTTATTGTTTGCACAAAAGCGGAGATATTATCATCAAACAAACTTAAGAGTGCAGTTCTCTGCTTGCTAGTAGAGCACCTTGCTTGGTTGTTGATTTAAGTCCCCTTGCTTACTCAGATAGGAAATCCTGCATCTGCAAAGGGAATAATCTCTGTGACATGTTTCCCAAATAAGATACTTGTACTTGATCTAAACAGTAAATAAAGTTGTGATAAGCTTTGATGATTAATAGGAACATTTTACCCCGGCCATTATTCACTTATTTGCATTAACTGCCTAAGCAAAACTTACTACAAAAAGAATAGTTTACCTTCACTCAAATGGAATAATACTGGCCTTTTAATAAAGATTATTTTAAAAATGGGTTGGAAGGAAGTACTTTCTGTGTGGGTAACTTACTGAATGTCAAGTGTTTTCAATCAGTCACTTCTCAAATATAAGATAGAGTAATATAAATTAGGTATGAGTAGTTCATAGATATATTTTTTTTTTCCTCCAGCTATGCTGTCCGTGAGTTTAGAAATGGAGAAGTTTCTGAATTGAGGAGAGGCTGATAAGGAATGGATAACACAAACAAATTGTTTTGTTTGGGTTTTTTTTTAATAATGACTTTGAGTTTCTTTTCCTCTAGTCAGCAATACAGAATATTAAACCTGGCTGCTTAGACTTGCACAAAATACTGATAGCAACAGAAGTAACAAATGTACAGTGTTTAAAAAAAATTAATTGCCCTGGTGCATTTTTTTAAAATTGTTAAAATGAGAGTTCTTCCTTGCTCTTATTACACATCACATAACAAATTGCTAGTAGTGTTTAGCTTGGAATGTGAAAGGCCTTGGTTTAGCAGTTTTAACTGTACAATTGAAGCATTTATGTTTCCTACAAGAGCGGATTTGTAGTAGGGCAGTTAATTCCACTGAGTTGGTCATATCTTGTTATGCTGTCTTCTCATACTCATTGTGGGAGCTGGAATAGAACAGATTTCTGGGAAAACCTCAACATGAGAGAGAACTTGAAGGTAAGGCACGGTCGCCATATCTGTGTACAAGCTATGCTAATGATCTTTATTGTTTATCAAGTGAAAACATGGGCTTAACTGTTCTTGTCAGCCTTTATTTTAAAAATGTGATGAGGAGAGCTTTGAATTGTTGCGCCTAGCTATGTCAAAGAAAAATAATCCTTAACAATTTGCCGTGAACAAGGTCTGAATTGTAAATTGTCATTTTTCGGG